GGCTGTACGTGCTCTGGACGTGCACCCCGCGAAGCGAGAGGAATCCTCGAAGCTCAGTGGCTGGGCGCTAGTGATGGGGCCTCCCAGGTCATTAGCCATGGTTGGCTGCTTCCATGAAGGCGTAAAGACGCCCTTCCAGGTCGAAGCACTCGCACTGGAGTATTGCCTCGATCAACCTACGCAGATTACTAACTGTCGGTTCCGATTCCGGTTCTCGTTTGGGATCAACCTGTTAGGGATCATCCCTCATCCCTATCCCTCCCCATGCGCCCGGTGCCGTTTCCGGTTGCGCTTCCAGTTCCGCTTCCGGTTCCGAATCACCCCTCCCGCTCAGGCAGCGCGCGCTGCTCTGGTCCCGGTTCCGGTTCCGGCTCCGGCTCCGGTTCCGGACCACCCCTCCCCCCTCAGGCAGCGCGCGCTGCGTTCCGGTTCCGGTTCCGGTTCCGGTTAGGGATCATCCCTTATCCCTATCTTCCGGTGCCAGTTCCGGTTCCGGTTCCGATTTTGGACCACCCCTTCCCCCTCAGGCAGCGCGCGCTGCTCCGGTTCCGGTTCCGGTTCCGGCTCCGGTTCCGGTTCCGGTTCCGGTTCCGGTTAGGGATCATTTCTCATCCCGATTCCTCTGCATGCGCCCGGTGCCGGTTCTGGTTCCGGTTCCGGTTCCGGAGCACCCCCCCCCTCAGGCAGCGCGCGTTGCTCTGGTTCCGGTTCCGGTTCCGGTTCTGGTTCCGGTTCCGGTTCCGGTTAGGGGTCATCCCTCATCCCTATCCCTCTCCATGCGTCCCGCGCCGGTTCCGGTTCTGGTTCCGGACCACCCCTCCCCCCTCAGGCAGCGCGTGCTGCTCTGGTTCCGGTTCCGGTTCCGGTTCCGGTTAGCATGCGTCCTGTTCCCTTTCCGGTTCCGGTTCCGGCTCCAGATCACCACTCCCCCCTCCGGCAGTGCGCGTTGCTTTGGTTCCGGTTCCGGTTCCGGTTAGGGATCATCCGCTTCCGGTTCCGGTTCCGGATCACCCCCCCCCTCCCGCAGCGCGCGCTGCTCCGGATCCTGTTCCGGTTCCGGTTCCGGTTAGGGATCATCCCTCATCCCTATCCCTCTCCATGCGTCCGGTTCCGGTTTTGGTTCCGGATCACCCCGCGCTGCTCTGGTTCCGGTTCCGGTTCCGGTTATGGATCATCCCTCATCCCTATCCCTCTCCATGCGTCCGGTTCCGGTTCCGGTTCCGGTTCCGGCTCCCCCCCCCCCCTCAGGCAACGCGCGTTGTTCTGGTTCCGGTTTTGGTTCCGGTTCCGGTTCCGGTTCCGAGTCATCCTTCGTCCCGATCCCTCTCCATGCGTGCGGTTCCGGTTCCGGTTCCGGTTCCGGATCCCCCCCCCCCTCAGGCAGCGCGCGCTGCTCTGGTTACCGGTTCCGGTTCCGGTTCCGGTTCCGGTTAGGGATCACCCCTCATCCCTATCCCTCTCCATGCGTCCGGTTCCGGTTCTGGTTCCGGTTCCGGATCACCCCCCCCCCTCAGGCAGCGCGCGCTGCTCTGGTTCCGGTTCCGTTCCGGTTCCGGTTCCGGTTCCGGTTCCGGTTAGGGATCATCCCTCATCCCTATCCCTCTCCATGCGTCCGGTTCCGGTTCCGGTTCCGGATCACCCCCCCCCCCTCAGGCAGCGCGCGCTGCTCTGGTTCCGTTCCGGTTCCGGTTCCGGTTCCGGTTAGGGATCATCCCTCATCCCTATCCCTCTCCATGCGTCTGGTTCCGGTCCGGTTCCGGTTCCAGATCACCCACCCCCTCTTCAGGCAGCGCGCGCTGCTCTGGTTCCGGTTCCGGTTCCCGGTTCCATCATCTTCATCCCTATCCATGCGTCCGGTTCCGGGTTCCGGTTCCGGATAACCCCCCCCCCCTCAGGCAGCGCGCGCTGGCTGGTTCCGGTTCCGGTTCCGGTTCCGGATCACCCTCATCCCTATCCCTCTCCATGCGTCCGGTTCCGGTTCGGTTCTGGATCCCCCCCCCCCCCCTCCCTCACAGGCAGCGCGCGCTGCTCTGGTTCCGGTTCTGGTTCCGGTTCCGGTTCCGGTTCCGGTTCCGGATCAACCCTATCCCTCCCACCTGGGGTTCTTATTGATTTGGGCTCAAGCCGTCTTGGCTCAAGCTCTTCGAGCAGAACGGGGAACTCCAAGTTAGCCGCCCGCGTGGGCTGGCTCACGCGTCACAGGCCCGCGTGGGTTGGTTCACGCGTCACAGGCATGCTCACCCCGCTCGGGATCTCCCAGGAACTCGAGGCGGCCCTCGCCCAGGCGTGGAAGGGCGCGGGCAGCCCTCAAAGCCCAGCTTAGACAACGACCACCACGACGACGACGGGGACGCCAGTCTGCGCGTGTGAAGGGCGTGACGAGCAGGTGCCCCTCAGCCCGCTCGCCCCCGACGACGATGGCCACCGCCGCCACGGGAGCGTCGACCTGGACAAGACAGCGATCTTCGAGGCGCTCCTCGGGGCTGAGGCACCGCCCGAGGGCGAGGCCGCCTGCTGCGCCAGCGCCGAAGGCAACCCCGCTCAGGCGCATCCAGTCGCAAGCATACTGCTAAGTCGGGCATGCCCCTCTCTACAGAGGGAATATTCAAAAACAGTCCAAACATAGTCGGGGGACGATGTTTCTATTGCTTTGGACTATGTCTGCATTTTCTTTGAATTTTTTTTAGTCTTCTGCAAAATCCGCCTGTATGAGGAAATGTCCGACCTAACGTATCAGGAGCAGATGATCGCAGGCGCCTGGCGGCCGTGGCACTCGCCTGGCGCAGCCCAGACCTCTTCAGGGGGAGTGCCCCGAGCTGGCGGCAGCCGCAGCGCTGGCGGCGGCAAGCGACGCGGACAGCCCGGTGAGCTAGGCGGGCGCCATTTCCAAGGAGCTCCGCTGTGGAGCGCGTGGGGCGCATGGGGACGCGATGCGGACCAGTGGCCCCGCCGCCGCCGCCAATGAGCCCCAGCACCCGCGCCGCTTTCAGGTCGACTGGCCAGTTCCCTTCATGAGGCCGGTGTCTGGCCACCTACAGGGCACGCCATGCGGTTCGACTGTGCGTTGCAGGTCGGTCCGCCAGTTCCAGTGCGTTGCAGCAATCACGGTTGAGGTTGGTCTAAAATTGTCAGTGGTTGTTTGTTGCACAGGACTTTGATATTGTTGCGCTTGGTTTTAGCAATTTTGCAATGTTCGATGATTGTCAGTTTTCAGAATTGCCCGGCCTTGTCATCCGCTTCTGTATTTCCTCGAAACTTCGGCGTGTAGGGCTGGTCCGCTGGTCGGCTAGACTACTACCGAAGCTTCCTTGGCCTAGCCGCAGTCGGTGCCGAATGCACGTGCCATACCGCGACAGCAGTTTGCTCGTGAGTTGAGTTGGACTGGCAGTGGGGGTAAAAACAATTCTCGAGGCTGCTCGGCACTGATGGGTCTCGAGCCAGGCCGTCCACCGCTCCTCGGAGATATGTGCACATCCTCATCGGCGGCATTCGACGGCCAAGGCTTGCACCTCAGCCCCCAGCTCCGCTCTGAGGATGCTATGATTCCACACGGCCTCGGAATGCAACTCTCGGGAGGTTAATTCTGAATCGACGCTGGTATTTCAATGGTTGAAGCTAGCCGAATCCGGCTTAATTCCGCCTTATGCGGCCGAATTCCGTTTAATCCGGCTGGATCCCGCTCATTCTGGCTTCTTTTTTGGCCAATTCCAGCCTGATCCGGCTCAATGGCTTCTTAATCGGGCTGAGTGGGTATAAGTTGTTCTGACGAAGATTGGGCAGTCGAAGGCCAGACTGTCAGATTGGATTGGGCCCCAAGGGCCAATCTGGCCCGGCCAAACTGGATGATTTGGGTTATTCGCCAGACTGGATTCGCGTTGGCTCCCTCGCCAGATTGCTCCCGTTTGCCAGATTGGGCCTGCCAGATTGGCGCCAGATTGGCTTCGACTACCTAGGAAGACATCCCATGATTTACCTCCAAACATCTGCGTGCACGGCGCCTGTGGGGAGCCTTGCAGCAGGATTGGGGCACATGCCACGTCTCACCACTGAGCTTGGCAGCCAGCGTTCTGCGCGCTCGTCAATGTGTGTGAAGTCCGCTCATGCCATCGTCATATCCAGATGCTGTTGCCGTCTCGGCTCAGGTACTGGAAACAGGTACAGCGCCGCCTGCCCGCGGCGCATGAGAAAAGTGATCGCTACACTCTCCCGAACCTTCTTCTACCTACGGACACCTCTGTAGGTTCAACTCTTTGGTCGTTAACCTACAGACACAGTCAATGTTGATGCTTCCCAGCCGACCGCTTGATTTCCTTCTTGATGAAGGCCCCGATCGGGGAGAGGGAGGAGGAGGAGGAGGAGGAGGAAGGAAAAGGAGGAGGAGAAGTGAGAGGAGTGGGAGGAAGAACGGTGGTCAGGAGTAACTTAGGCAGCAAACGTCGAAAGTGGTGGAGGGAGCGGAGGCAGGATTGGTCATCTGGCGTGACAGCCCCCCAACGAGGCCTCATCCTCGTTAGCCCTTCATACGAAGACCTCCCAGCAGCTGCCTCCCAACCCCGATCCCGAGTCTTGCGCCCCCCCGAGACAGGGGAGTGCGCCGCCCACTGACGCTCCCTCTGGCATGCGAGGGTGCTCGTTGCCGCAGACGCTGTCCGGCCGGCGCCCACCGTCCGTCCTTGCTCCCTGCCTCCCTCCCCCATTTCTCCCCCCCCTCTTGTCCCGACGAGGTGGAGGAGGAACACGAAGGAGGAGGAGAACGAAGGAGGAGGAGGAGGAGGAGGAGGAGGAGGAGGAGGGAGGAGGAGGGATTTGGAGGGATGGACGGGCATGGGCACGGGAGGACGAGAAGGGCGGAGGACGAACAGGAGGTGAGGGGTGGGAACGAGCAGGAGGAGGAGGAGGAGGAGGAGGAAAAGGGGAGAGGGTATGGGAAGGAGGGAGGGCAGGAGAGCGGGGAAGGAGGGAGGGAGCACGACGACGACGACGGGCGCCTTGGCAGCGAGGCCGCCGCCGCGGCGGCCGGCCTCCCGGTGGCCGCGCTGCTCCTCGGCGAGGGCCCCGTCGGCGCCGGGGCGCGCGCCCCCGGGCCGCTGCCGCCGCTGCCGCCGCGGCGCTCGGCGAAGGGGAGAGTCGACCTCCTACCCTGACACGTCGATTGCAGTTGGGGCGCTGACGAAGGAACTGATCTCGTTGGGGAGGGGCTCGGGGCTCCTTGATTGTTTTACAGGTTGCCTTAGGTGTTCCTTAGGCCTTCGATGAGAACTCGAAACTTAATTTAGGGAGAAAAAGGGGCCCCTTTCCTTACTTAGGGTTTCTTAGGTCAGCGCCCCAACTGAAGCGAATTGGCCGTTTTCGGTTCGCGAGGGGGCGTCGGGACCGTCGTTTTTGCGGGTCCAGCTCCGTCGGTTTCGGTCCTCGGCCGTTTTCACTGAAGGGAGGTTTACTAAATGGAGGTTTTTCCCTCCGCCGAGAGAAGCAAGCCACCAGTAATCAGCAGAAGCCAGGCGAAGGCTGGCAAACCCGTGGCTGCTAACACAGAGCTCCGGGAACCTGTTTTGGGTTCTTCCGGGAGCAGCCCGTTTCTGCTGTCGTGCGCTGCACCTGATACTGGGAACTTTTTTTTTCTACCGGGAAAACCATTTTAGCAGCCACGGTTATGTCAGTCCTCGCCCAGCTTCCGAATTAAGTCGGGCAGGTCCCTTTACAGGAGGAATATTCCAAAATAGTCCAAAAATAGCCTGGGGACGATTTGTTTGGATATTTCAGCTATTCTTGAATATGTTTGGCCACGTTTCCTTTTATTATTCCAGAATCTGACTGTAGGAGGACATGCTCGACCTGACGCTGCCATCGGCGGCGAGCAGGGGGATCTCTGAGATCTGGCGGTTGTGGAGGACGTCTTAGGCGCCGCTGCCGTTGCAGGGCGCCCTGGAGCGCTCTTCGAGAGCGCTCCGGGGCGCCCTGGAGTGACTCATCCGGGTCCTGGGCCTGGCCGATGGGGCTTCCTGCGGGACTGGCTTCTCTCGGCGGCGAGCCCAGGGGGAAGTGAGGAAGGGGTGGGCCTTCCCAGAAGGCTCGAAAGTTCCCAGGCCTTCTGAGCTGTCTTCTAAGCCTTCCCCGAATGCACGGAAAATTGCTCGGAAGGCCGGGGGGTTTTGAGAAGCCTCGCCGCCTTGCACACGGGTGCCCTTGCATCTTTGCCTCCTCGGTCCATCCTTCGCCTTTCTCGTTGGCCGCGCCCCGCTCGAAAAGCTTCGAAATGGGCGTCCAAGGCCCTTGCACCCTTATCGCGCATCCTTACTATACGGGTTTAATGCACAGCCCTCGTCGAAATAAAATGCAAGTTTTGTTACGACCCCCCGCCCCCGAAATTTCAATTGTGATGGACGCGCGCAGCGCGCCCGAGGGGGAAAAGCAAGCAGTAGGTACGCAAGCGTCAGAGAGTCAACGCGCCTAGTAAGGACGGCGCACCGATGTCATTTGATTGTGGATTGCGCGGTACTCCTCCAGCCTCCAAATATTCTTCGGGCGCCTTCTCCCTTGGGCTGATGCGCCCCCCCCCCTGTCATTTGCTTGTTTCCCCCTCTTCTCTGGACCCCCTGGTCGCGCAGACCGTGTCAGCCCTCCTCGACGTCGAAACGCAAGCTTTGATCCGACCCCCTCGCCCCCGAATGTCAATAGTGACCGACGCGCGCAGCGCGGCCCGCGGGGTCAACAAAAAAGAATTGCGGTCGCCAGTGTCGGCGTCAACATTGAAATTGGGGTCTGGGGGCGTCGTGGCGTCGTGGGAGAAATCTGCATTTAATTTCGAGAAGGGATGCAGGTGCGAAGGCGTCACATCTGACGTCCTACTCCTCCCTCCTCCCATCACTCATTATTGCGTAAATCTCCTCTCTATTCGCACAGCCGGATGTCGATGGGAGCAATGGTCCCGCGAGAGTGCGCGATGCATGGTGCAGCACGACAAAGCATGAGCGCGACCCATGTCGACAACAACGTCAGAAGGGAACCAGAAATGACACAGGACGGGAACTTACATGCACGGTTTGGAAAGCGGGAAGCGCAAAATGACAGCTTTGCAGCGGGAGCACGTGGAAATGAGAAAGAGAAGGCCCTCTCAGAATGCAGCGGGGCTTCTCAGAATGCTTCTGGCCTTCTGGGAGGTTTTCGGTGTCTTCGGGGGGAGGCCTAGAAAATTGCTCCAGAAGGCCGGGGGACTTCTGAACCCTCTTTGAAGGCGTCTTTCTCACTTCCCCTTGGGCTCGCCTCTGAGAAAGGGGTACAGAAAGCATGGGGACGAAGGCCGACAGCAGTTCTCCTCTCCTCTCCTTTCCTCCTGCTCCCTGCTCCTCCTGGGGCCGTGCCACGCGGTGCGGACGCGGCATCGGCACCGCGTGGCATGGCGCCAGACGAGCGAGCCGGACGAGGCCCGAATGGACCCAGGCGGAGAGCGAGCCATCTTGGCGGCGCCGTGCAGTCGAGCCTCGGTGCCCAAGGATCGGCACGATCGAGATGGGGAATTACGGAAAGAACGGGGACGAGGGCCGGCAGCAGTTCCGGACCACTCTCTGCGCGTGGCTCGCCGTCGGACGCCGCGGGCGTCTTATCCACCTGAGACAAGACGCCGACTGCCCAGCAGCGGCCGCGCTGCGGTTGGGCCTCGCGCTCGTGCTGTCCGTGCCCGCCCCGGGCGTCCAAAGTGGTTGCCGCCGCCGCCCCGCCGCTGCTCCGCCGGCGCAAACGCCGTCGCACCTGCCGCCGCAAGCGCCGTCGCCCCGCCGTGGTCGTCGCCCGCGAGGGCGCTCAACGTGGCAGGCCGCCAGCGGCCAGAGCCACTCCGTCGTCCATCGGGGGCCCCCAGACGGGTTGGTGACCACACCGTGCGGTGAGTCGGGGTCGTTCTCCGAGGGTGTTTCGGGCGACAGGGGCCTCCCGGGTCCCAAGACCGTGCGGTGACGGACCGTGCTGTGAGGTCTTGGGGGATTTCGAGGTCACCGCACGTTCTGTCGCCGCACCGGTTCGGGACTCCAAAGTTCAGGATCGAGAAAATACACAGACTCGCATAATCACGCTGCACCTTTGGGGGACCCCGCGTGTCCCAAAGTTGGTGCACTTTCCTGTGCTCGACGCGGGCTTGATGCGGACTCGACGCGGATTTGGCGTGGATCCGACGCGGATTCGACACGGATTCGACGCAGATCCGACGAGTCCGACATAGATTCGACACGGATTCGACGCGGATAGGTCCGCGACAGGACAGACAAGGTCCCCCGAGGCTTCAACATAAATTCATGAGGGAGAAAATGCACACAGACACGCATAAACGTCGATGCCCAGGACAACGTGGAAGAGTATGGGAAGTGGAGGGCAAGGCGAACACCCAGAGCGTGCTGAAAACGATTTGGGGAACCTTGGGACTTGTTTCTATTTGTTTGCGTCTCCCTGGGCCCCTTTGACAATGCCAACCTTGAACGGTCTCCACGGTCGGAGAGCTCTAGGCCTCCCAGATGGGGTCCGAGCAGATGGGGCCAGAGGATAGCGCCACATCACCGATGTATCGACCGTGTGGCTCGATGTAGGGCCCGATTCTCTCCACGCCGACTTCGCGGATGCGTGGCCGACGTCGCCGATGCCTCGCCGATGCATCGACGACGCATCGACGATGCAGCGCGATCCTCCGGCACAATCTAGTCCAACCCCACTTGGGAGGCCTCAAATAGCGGAGATCACTCAAGGCCGAAAAGTCTGCGCGGTGCCAGAGACCACTGTCGACCGCCCACGTCGGCACGACAGAATCCAGCCGTTTTTTCGAGGTGGCAACGTCAGGGGCGACGCCGGGGGCGGGTTGGCCCTGGCGGGGATGCATCGACCCCCAGTCGCCCACTGATCGCCGGCAGGGGCCCGATTCCCCCTTCCCGCCCATCAGCGATCGGATTCGCTACAGTCTGACCGAGGTATAAGTTCGAGGTCGGTCGGCTCGGGGAGAATACCCTGATGTGCTTCGTGTTTGTTGGATGTTCTTGTGCATCCTCGGGAGGGTACCCTTGGATGTTCTGCTTGTTGCGGCCGACCGAGGGCCTCATGTTCTTGAGGGATGTTTATCTGGCCTAGGTCCGACTGTATTGGGGAGCCATCGCCGTTCTATCAGCGATGTATCGCCGATTCAAGCTCGATTTCCCCCCCGAACCAGCCTCCTCGTAACGTTGCCCCTCGTCGTCGTCGCTACCGCCGCCGTCGCCGTGTCGTTCTGGCCGTCGCCGACACCGTCGCCGTGGTTGTCCTCGCCGTCGGCTTCGCCGTCGCCGTCGCCGTCGCCGCCTCGTCGACGCCGAGGCCGCGCTGCCGCCGAGGCAGCGCCTTCGCCGTGGCCGCCGTCGTTTGTGTCGCCCATGTCGTGGATGGAGGTTAAGTATGAGATTCGAGGTTGGAGCGTCGGGATTCGAGGACGGCTTGGGCCTTTCCGGGCCTCCTGTCCTGAAGCCTCCAGCTAGTCACTCTTATGGAGGCTTCGGAGACCTCCGGAGGCATCTGGACGGGGCTGGTCGTCGAGAGCGTTCTCGCCGTGGTCGTCGTCTCCCTCGTCGTCGCAGCATCTGTCTATGCCGACGCCGTCACCGTGTCGGCACTGTCGTCGTCGTCGCAGTGGTGGTCGCCGCCGTCGTCGCCGCCGCCAGCGACATCGTGGCAGCAGCCGCCGCGGACGTTTTTGTCGCTGCCGCCGCCTCTATCGACGCCGCCGCCGCCGCTTTCTCAGCCTCGGCGCCGCAGAAGTCATCTACACACCACCACCGTGCCTGCCCAACACCATCCTGGGCCCTGGGATGGTGTATGCCGTCGTGTATGGATGCCTTCTGCGGAGCTGAGGCTCGACGGCTGCGACGGCGGTGGCCGTGGCGGCGGCAGCGACAAAGACGACGGCGGCCCCTTCTACTACGATGTCGACGGTGGCGCCAGGGACAGCGGCGACGACGAGGGCGACGCCCACGGCGATAATCAGCTGCGTGTAAGAGTGACCCATCGCCAGAGTGACCTTTGGTGCGGGCACCTGGGGGTCCCCCCAGCACTGGCTTGAGCGCCCAGATCTGGCTCCCCCGCGGCCCCCGCATGGACCATCGGCGCCCCTGGATACATGTGAGCGACGCAAACCAAACGGGGCCGTTTGCGCCGACACTGACGCGTCGTAAGCTGCCCGCGTAAGGTCACGCGCAAGTGCATTCGCTTCCGATGTGGTGTTCTGCGCCCTCGGCCCGTGTAATCTACGGCATCGGGTCGCTCGCTATGTCACCTCTCGTAAGACCTTTTCGTCTCCGCCACTCGAATACCCTCCGCCTTGTCGTCACCTCTCGTGAGACACTGACACCCTTCTCTGGATTGTTCCTGGGCCTCGGGGGAGGGTGGCGATGTACAAATCACCACTGAAACCCAGCGACTTTGCGCACGCTCCTGGTCGGAGGGTCTCTAGCTATACATATACATATATATATATATACACATATACACATATATATGTATGTGTATATCTCTATGTTCGTGGCGCACCGTCGCTCGTGTACTGCTCTCCCCATGGGCTGTCCACCCCCGTCTCCGCCGGGCGCCGTCCTCGCCGACGACGAGGACGACGTCCACAGCGAGCAGACGGCGGCGACGGCGGCCGGCACCCCGCCCGCAGCCGAGGCCCTCGCGGCGCTCGGCGGCCCGCCCCCGCTGCTGAAGCTGCGCACCCCGGACCACGCGGCCCTCTCGGGGCTGCCGGCGCGGGCGCTGCTGGACGGCAGGCGCGCCGCGGGCTGCCGCGGGCCACCGCCGCCGGCGACGACGACGGCGGCGGCGGCGACGGCTACGACGACGACGCAGACGACCACGACGACGACGACGACGACGACGACGACGACGACGACGACGACGAGGACGACGAGGACGACGACGACGACGACGCCATCGCCCCCGTCACCGTTGAGCGTGTGCTTTCGCGCGCCGCATCGCTCCCAGTGGCACCGCCCGCATGCGTCAGCCATCACCCAGTATAGCGCTTCGTGGCCCCATAGGGGGTTCCACCGATGGTCCCAGTGGCACCGCCCGCATGCGTCAGCCACCACCCAGTACAGCGCTTCGTGGCCCCGTAGGGAGGTCCATAGAAAGGCCCCAGTCGCACCGCCCGCATGCGCCGTCCACCACCCAGTACTGCATTCCGCGGCCCCAGTGATAGGGAGCTCTACCAAGCCCCAGTTGCACCGCCCGCATGCGTCCCCCCCACCCAGTACAGCCTTTCGTGGCCCCCGTAGGGCCCTCATGCGTCCCCCCACCCAGTACAGCGTTTCGTGGGCACATAGGGAGCTCTACCGAAGGCCCCAGTGGCACCGCCCGCATGCGTCCCCTCCCTGCCAGTACAGCGCTTCATGGCCCCATAGGGAGCTCCACCGAAGCCCCTAATGGCACCCCCCGCATGCGTCGCCCACCACCGAGTACAGCGTGTCGTGGCCCCGTAGGGAGCTCCACAGAGACCCCAGGTAGCACCGTCCGCATGCGTCTCCGCTCACCAGTGCAGTGGCCTCATCGGGAGCTCCAGCGAAGGGCACCGCCCGCATGCGTCCCCCCCTCCCAGCACAGCGTTTCGTGGGCCCATGGGGAGCCCCACCGAAGGCCCCAGTGGCACCGCCCGCATGCGTCTCCCCCACCCATTACGGCACGTCCCTCACGCGCTTCGTGGCGCCACAGGGAGCTCCACCGAAAGCGGCACCCACAACGCGTTATCAACCCTTGCTTCTCTTGCACTCCGGAGTTTGGTTGACATTGGCGCACTGTATACCCACAACGCGTTATTCACAATTGCATATGCTTGGGCCTTTCGCCTGGATAATTGTTTTGTAGATTTTGGTTGGCTATGTTTCATTTTCCGCCCAACATCCGCCTGGAGGCAGGATAGCCCGACCTAACCCCTGGCGACGGCGCTCTGCACGCCCCCCGCTCCTCGGCGGCGGGCAGGGCGGGGGGGCCGGGACACCTCGGGGGCAACGACGGGGAGGGAACAGGCACATGGGCGAATAGCCCAGGGGGGAGCAATACATGTACCCAGGGGCGCCGAGGATCCATGTCTTCGGCGAGGCTCCCGGGCGAATACGTGTACTGCCCGCCCCCGTGCTATTCGCCCCTTTCGTCGCCCCCCGAATGGGGGGGGTGCACCCGACCCCAATCATCGCCCATTGATCGCCGATAGGGGTCTGATGGCCCCACCCCGCCCAGGAAGGTGCGGATTCACCATCGGGGGCCTATCGCCGATCTATCGACGAGGTGTCGCTGGTTCCAGGTCGATGCATCCCCCCTGTGCCTATCCCCCCCTATCGCTGCCCCTCATCCGGAGGACTGGAAGAGGCGCTGAAGGAATAGTGACGACCCTCCTCGCTTGCCAATGTCGGAGGCGAGCCTGGGGGGGAAGGGAACAGGGGCGGGCCTTCTCAGAAGGCTCGGAAGGCCTCTGGCACTCCGGGGAGCTTTCGGAGCCTTCCCCGAGGACGGAAAACATGTTTCGGAAGGCCAGAGGGCTTCTGAGAAGCCCCGCCGCCTTCTGAGAAGGCTTGCTCCTTGTCACTTCCCTCCCTCGCCCGCCGCCGATAGTAATGGTCAGTTTTGGGGTCAATGAAAGGTAAGCGCGATTCCCTGGATTTACCTTGTGTGGGGCCGTATGTCTTTCAAGACTTACGTGTGCTTTGGCGTTTCCTGGGCAATTCCAGGGGAAGTTCTTTAAGCCGGGGCACTTCTTCTTTCAGAGTCCGTGTTTTCCTTGATTGTCCTTCGCTGATTTTGACTCCCAGAGGGCTGATCTCAGTGAGCAGGCGAACGAGACGAAGACCGACAGTAGTTCCTGTTTATCGTGGACCGGACGTTGTTTCGTCGTCGCAGCGGACGTTGCCCATCTGAGTCGGTAGGGCGCCTGGCCAACAGCGGCCTGTTGGTTTGGGGGGCAACAGCAGCGGCATCATGCCAATTCGTTGTACCCGTTGCCGAATGACGACGATGCCGACGTCGTCGGCCTCGGCGCGATCGTCTTGGAGTTCTCGTGGTGTTTTGTAAAGGCCCCCGTCGGTGCGGCCAGGCGCGGCTCGGGGAGCTGGCCGGGGCAGACCCGACCGGTGAGTTGGAGTGATTCGCCATGTCGTTTCGTTGTCGATTTCGCGGCTGGTTCTGCTGATGTGGTCGTCAGTTTGTCCACATTCTAGCCCGCCCTTGGCGCGATCTCCCGTTCTCACCGAAGCTTTGTCACTCGGTCGGAGGCCGGACACAGCGGGGCACAGCGCGCACCTCGGCAGGCACCCAGCGGACACTTCAGGGTCGGACGGGGCTGGGACGAGGATGAGTCCGTTCTAGGAGCTTCCAGCTAACTCTCCGAGTGAGGTTCCTGCCCCATCCCCCGCCCCCCATCCTGGGGACCCTCGGACCCTCGCCCCCAAACGTCCGACGTCCTGACTTTTGTCAGTACGGGGTCCCAGGAAGTTCCGACTCTTTCCCCAGGACCGGTTGTTCATCCCGCGCCGTTGTTTGACGACCCCATGCACCGTTTGAATCAGAGGCCAAAAATTGCCCAAGGTTGGCCACTCCAAAATAGCCCCAAGACTGGCCGCTGAAGACAGCCCGAAGCGGTCCTAGGGCACAGCAAGGGCCCATGGAGGCCCAAACGGCCCAAAAGGACGCGAGCACTTCTGGGGGGAAATCCACGTCCAACGAAGGCGTCCATAAAGGAGGGTTCACATGTACCTCCAGGCTCAGGTTTAGGCCTCGAAAGGGGGCCTTCTGCCGCTTGGTCCCTGGAGGGGGCCGAGGACTCTTTCATGGACCTTCGGCCGACGAAGACGTCCATCCAGGAGGGCCCAAACGTATCTCCACCTCCTTTACACCATAATCCAATTCACTCGGGGGGACGATAAATGAGGGGCCAGCGAGGGCTGCAGAACAAGGGCCCGAAAAGGGGCCCTCTAGTGCCCAAGAGGGGGCCTCTTGGGCCCGAGCAAGGCACCTTCCCTGGCCCCCCCACTTATCCCCCCCTATGAATTCGCGCCCCAGGGCTTAAGTCGGGCGTGCCCCCCTACAGGAGGAATATTCAAGACTAGTCAAAAAATAGTCTGGGGACGATGCTTCGACTATTTTGACAGTTTTGGAGCATGTTGTGACTATTTGTTTCCTCTGTATTCCAAAACCCGCCTCTAAGAGGCCATTCCCGATCTAACGCTAGTTCGCGCCCCAAGAAGGACGCGACCACGTCTTGGGGGGAGCCCTCGGCCGCCGAGGGTCCGCCCCTGCGAGCGCTGCCCCCCCCCTCGCTGAGAGGAGGGTCGAAGTCACGACATCCAGCGCCCCCCTCCTCCTCCTTTTCCTCCTCCTCCTCCTCCTCCTCCTCCTCCTCCTCCTCCTCCTCCTCCTCCTCCTCCTCCTCCTCCTCCTCCTCCTCCTCTCCTCCTATTCCTCCTCCTCCTCCTCCTCCTCCTCCTCCTCCTCCTCCCCCTCCTCCGTAGCCATTTAGGCTGAAGTAAACCATTTCTCGAGGTGGTTTCGAGTGAGTCGCGCTGAGGGGGGCCAGCGCCCCCTCCTGCAGGCTGGTCGCCCTCGGCGTTCTGGCTAATCTTTATCCTCTCACATCTCCACCGATACCCTACCTGTCTTTCGCCGTCCGTTTTTCACCGGTGCAATGGGTGGGCGACGTCGCAACCAGAAGAGTTCGCAAGGCCGCCCGCGACATCCGCCGTTTCGAGGTGCTCAACGTGCTCGTTCACATACACCGCCGTCACCGGAACGCAGCCGCAACAGTGATCACCCTTCGCACACCGTTCTCTTAAAGCATATGAGTGACAAATGGAGCAGTTTTCCTCCTCGGTCGTTGCTCAAATGAGGGACAGTCATATTCAGATTGGGAACAAATTTGTCATCATGAAGAACCGTTAGTATCCATATCAGCTCGGATCGATCCAGGCTCCACCACCATGCAGACGCAGTTTGAGCGCCATCCGAAGCAGATCGAGGAGCTCCGTAGATTTCAACAGGCGAGTTCGAGCGCTGCATCCACCGCCAGTTCCTCTGGTGGCGACGTGCCGATGGATGGCCGTCGCCCTCGTCCTGGTCCAATTGGCGCACCTCCTGGTCATACTACGCACGTCGATCGGCCGAGCAATCCTAAATGGAGGTACATCGGAACTTGGCCCCGTCCCGTCCCCGGTCGTGTTCGCGAGGAGTTCCACAATCAGTTCAAAACGCGCTTCCCCGTATTATTGCAGGACTCTGTCGCTACATTCAAAAGAGATTCTCACAGCTACGAGATCCAGCTCCCTTTCTGAAGCCGTCGCCACGCAGTTCATGCACGCTGCCAATGAGAATCAGATGGCATGGAGAGATTCTTGTAAGAACACAGTCACACCGCTTGGTTGTCGCGGTGGCCTTCCTCTTCCTGTTCGGCTCGGTCAGCAGAATCTCTCGGAACTACACCGGCGTGCGAAGGGCCTCCTCACGCGGTCGCCGTTGCGGGGTGCTAAGACTAAGTTGGGCGTCAGTGGATTCAGAGGTCAGTTGGCGATCATGGACGACGACGAGGCCTGGCCGCTCGCATCACGCACTCATAGTGGCATGGGCGCCGAGAGCTTCCAGCCGCACTGCGATGAGGCGTCGCGAGCGGGGCTTAGAGGCGTCGCAGATCGACGCGATCGTCGCGGGCGCCACCAGCCAGATCCACGCCATGAGCCGCTAGGAAACTGCATCGCGAGCCTTCCGCGAGCCTGAAAGCATTGCCCCTCGCGCAGCCTGCGATTGGGGCCCAGGCTGCCCCCCCGCCTCCTTTCCGTCCCCCCCCCCCCCCGCCCTCTGCGATGTGTCTGCCGTGCCAGGCAAAGTCACCTCTCTCGCCCCCCCCCCCCTCTCTCTGCGCACCATCGTTTGCATTCAGGAATCCCACGGCGCGCAGGCCGATCTGGGCGGGATTATGCACGATGCCAGCGGCGTCTCAGGGCATGGGCCGTTTTGCCCCAATCCAGGCCCTGGAGGTATTCTGACTTTGGTCAAGGGCTGTTTCGGCGCCAGGTTGCAGCACAAGTATATCGCCAGGAAATCGTTCCTGGATGCCCGCGCGCACAGCGCCCCTGACGCAGCAGAAGCCGATGTCAGGACTCACTTCTACCAGTCGCGCGCTGCCCCGTTGCCTTCCCCGACGCCCGCGGCATTCGCTGCCAGAGACTTTGACTGCCGCTGCCAGGGAGAGGCTAGATACTACGTTGTGTCTGGTAGTGAATATGTTCCTCCTCGTCGTCTTACTGATCTGTTTGATGACGCCTTTACTCGCTACGCTGAAATTCACCAACCCCGATGTACCCATCGCATCAGTGGCCCCCACGACCCCAGCTATGCCCGACTTGACCGCAGATCTCTACACATATATATATACACACACACATACATACATACATATACACACACCAGTCTTCCCCCTGCTGCTTTGTCTCGGTTATCGATGCGTCACCTCCACCAGCTGGAGAAGTACCGACCTTAGCACGCCGCCTGATCACGCCCCCGCCCCCCCCCCCCCCCCCCCCCCTCGATCTCCCCGCAAGCCGACCTTCCCGAGGACGCGCCGATTGCTTCGCGGATTATCCAGCACCCTACCCTCGCGCCTTCCGCTCGCGAGTCACGCGAGGCTTCCGACTTCCACCCCGACCCGTTTTCGAGGCCCCGAGGAATGACATGCACGTTCCGTCTTGCCGCCAAGCAAGTGAAATTCGAAGTTCGAGAAATTGACCCTAATTGCGACGACGCTAAGATCGCGCCCTGCGCCCGCCCCCCGCGCGCGGCCCGCGCAAAGCTACGGCCGCGGCGCGCGCGGCCCCTGCGCGCTCACCCAGCGCATCGGCGTTTATTTTTGGAGCAGAACATATACTGCGGACTGGTTGGGCTGCGTTCCACCAGCGCATCAGCGCTTCTCTCTTCTGCAACGCACTGTACTCCAGCGGAGAGAGAACGCCATCCGACTGGGCCCCGACCTGTCTGAAGCTGATCAGCAGTCTCGGACGGCTCGCGTTCGTTGTCCTGCTTCTGCCCGGGCCGCGAAGCGGCCTCGTCTTTCTCTCGCCGGGCTTCGGCCCCCCCTGCGGCGCGCCGCTGAAGATCCAGACTAGATGGCCAGCTTCCCCCGCGATACTGGGGCGAGGTGTTCGCCGCTGCTGACTCGCCAGGCCTTGATGCCCATTGCCCTTTCTTCGGTGAAGTTGTTCCTCTGGGCCCTCAGGGTGGTAAATAGATTGCCTGTACTTACCAATGTATCGATATGGTTGCGGATAGGGCCTCTGTGGCCCATCTTATTATGAAAAAGAAAGACACTGCCCTTGGCCCCGACGGAGTTCCTTACAGCGCCTGGCAAGCTGCTCGTGACATTGCGATTGGCACCGCGCGCGAGGCCCTGACATGTCCGCGCAGCGAGCACTCGCAACTTCCGCCCGAATTTAATTTCTGCCGCGCTGCGGTCTTGCCCAAGGGCGCCATTCATAATGGCGGTGCTGAAACGCGAGAAGCCGCTCGCACGCGCCTACTCCCCCTCTCGAACCCTGATAACAAGCTCATCTTCTCCCGGATTGCCAGGCCGCATCATTGCGCTGCTGGCGATGTTGTGGAGCCATCGCAACGAGGCTTTGTCGCAGGAAGACCGATGATTGAGAACATCGCGGGGTTCGACTGTTCCTTCTTCGCTTGGCCCCGCGCCCCCGCTTGCCCCCACTCGGGCGGGCGCCTGTTCGGCTGTCGCAATGCGTTTCTCAGCGTTCATCAGGAGTGGATAGTTTGAGTTTTGCGTGCTTATCGGATGCCCAACTATATTACTACTGCCATCGCCGCTCTACACTCCCAGGTCTTGATTATTATGAGTATTCGCCGTGGCTGTTTCGAGCAGTGACATTGGTTGTTGGGCCCGTCGCGGGACGAAACAAGTTCGCCTTCTGTCGGGCGTTTTATTTGCCACCGTGCTGAACCCCATCCACACATATATGTTAGGGATGAGACTCTCTACGCCCATGTGCACGCCTGGCTTCGCCGACGTCCTCGCCCTCGTTGCAGCCGACATGTTTTTGGTGTTGCCTGCAGTGCGCGCGGAGCTCCACGACGCAGGTCGATCTGCTGGTTCGGCATTTAATCTTAGCAAGTGCCGCGCAGTGCCCCCGCGCCAGTACAAATGGGAACAGATCAAATCCCGCTTCGCCGCTCTTGTTTTTGATGTCTCGCATTTGCAGCATGGCACGAACGGGAAATCTCTTGGGATTCACGTCGGCCTTCATGGGCCCCAACGGTTGTGGGCCCTGCCCTTTGGTAAACTTACCGAGCGCACCCACCAAGTTCGCGCTCTTGGGCTGTCTTTCGCGGCCACGATCCCTGCTTATAATCGGCGTGCCGTTCCTGTTCTTGGTCACGTTGCTCGATGTTGTGACCCCCCTCGGGCCCTCTACATAATAGAGCGCGAATGCCTTCAGTTGCTCCCGCGCGCCCCGCCACGCATTTCCCCCGAGCGCGATGCGCCATCTCAAAAGGCTCGGGTATCCAGTTGGCCCGAGACAGGCGAAGATCGCTTGCCAGTTTGCCCTGGCCCGTGCAGCTATGAGATCAGAGTTGCTCGACTGCGCGGGAGACTGGGTCACGGCTGCCAGTCGACCAGGCGTAGCCACGCTCGCCGCTCTCGCCCGCCCCTTCCCAGATTCCGCCGTCTGCCACGCGTCTCGCGCCCGCCGCCATTGCCGCGCCACCCCCAATGCCACCGTCGACGCCCCGCCCAAAATGTTGCAGAGTAAGATCGATCATTGTCTCCGTGCCCATCTTCCTGTTTCTCTCGCACGCGAGCCGGCGCGTGCCCGAGCAACGCATTGGACTACTCACCCCATCGAACCTCATTATATTGATCGTAGTGTCTTTCTTTTTAACCTGATTGGCCAACGCCCCCCCTCCTGCCTTACTGCTGCGGTGAAGACCCTTTTCAATACCTGGCCGACTTCGAAACGTTTTCGATTTGGCGCTGGCGGATGCGCGCGGGGATGCTGCAATGTTGGCGGTGAGTCCATGTTGCACTATGTCTCTTGTCCTCTCTCCGCCCTTGTCGCCCGCGCTCTCCTCTCTTCTCTTCCTCCTTCCTGTGGCCCCGATCCGCTGCGTGTCATTCAACCCCATATGTGGGTGGCGCGCGACAGTGATTCTATTATTGCTCACTGCGTGGCCCTTGATTTCTTGTTTCCGCCATCAATGCAGTCCGCGCCCGCGGGGCCAGATCCCCGAAGCGCGCTCGGGATGTCATCCGCGCGAGATCCCGCGCTGTCGCCAGGCGGCCCAGGCGTGTTCGGCGGCTCTCCATCACCGAAGTCATCGAGGCAGGGACGCGGACTTGTTTCCTCCCCCCTTCGCTTCTTGTCTGCCTGCCTCTTGTCCCTTGCTCGCGTCACGTCGGTTTCCTTCTTCAGGCGCCGGGGCTCCTCTTCCCCCCCTTCACCCTCCTCCTCCCGGGGAGAAGCTCGCCGAGCACCCCGCTGCCCTGCCCCCAAGCCAGGAGCGCCACAGCGGCCACCCTGGGGACCCCCATTGGATCCACCTGGCGTTCCCTGGAGCTGCCAGGGCTTGGCCGGATATGAATCGGCGGCGAGCGATGGGGGGGAAGCGAGAAGGAGATGGCCGTCTCAGAAGGCGGCGGGATTTCTCAGAAACCCTCGGGCCTTCTGAGAAGTGTCTCGCGTCCTCGGGGAAGGTTTCGACAACTTGTCAGAAGGCCGGGGGACTTCCGAGCCTTCTGAGAAGGCCCGTCCCTTTATCACTTCCCCCCTCGCTCGCCGCTGGTAAAACCTCGACTCGTTCGCACATGCCCTGATCGTTCCGGCCTGGCCCCCACGAGTAGATGGGCGAACCGTCGTCAAGCCCTGGGCCCCCCCGCCGCCCGCTCCAGGCACTTGCTGGGCCAGCTGCTGTCGGGCGCCGGCGGCGCGGCGGAGGGCGGCGACCAACGCCCCTGCGCTCCCGCGCGCGCAGAAAGGTCCGCAGCGCGCAGATGCACAGTAAGAATGGGCACACCGAGAACAGTTCCTGATCATTTGAACAAGACGCGTTGCCGGTGTCGCCGCGGACTTTGTCCGTTTAGGACAGAAGACGGCCTGCCCAACAGCGGCCACTGTTAGCTTTGGACAACAGCTGTTGTTGGGTATTGTACCCAGTTGTTCGGTACCCTTGTCGTGTGTCCAAAGCTGAAGGACAAGGACAACGCTTGGGGGGATAGGCTCAGAGGTTCGAAAATTCGAGGTCCGCCTTTAAGAGGTGTTTGCTCGTCCCTGGGGGGCGCCCCCCCCTGTCAAAGCCGGATCCGCCTCGAGATTCTGGCCGGAGCGCCCCCCCTGGAGAGGTGTAGGGATCGACGTGTGGTCCCTGGCCACGGGCAGCGCTAAGGGGGGGACAGGCTGTAGGGTTTAATCGGGCATGTCCCTCTACAGGAGGAAGATTCAGAAATAGTCAAAAAATTGTTCGGAAACGGTTTTTCTATTGTTTTTGGCTGCTATTCCAAACCATTTTGTGGTGTTGGGTCCGCGTTTTAAGAGAGACGTCCCCCGCGTTCCTCATCCCCCCTTCCCTCCTCGTCCCTCTCCTCCCTCCTCCCTTTCCTTTTTGGGTTTCACCCACCCAGTACAGCGCTTCGTGGTCCCATAGGGAGCTCCACCGAAGCCACCAGTGGGACCGCCCGCCTGCGTCCCACACACCCAAGTTGGCATTTTCACCCACCCAGTACAGCACTTCGTGGCCACATAGGGAGCTAGCTCCACCGAAGCCCCCAACGGTACCGCCCGCATGCGTCCCACACACCCAATTGGGCATCTCCACCCACCCAGTGCAGCGCTTCGTGGCCCCAGAGTGAGCTCGACCGAAAGTTCCAGGTTTACCTCCCGCATGCGTCCCTCCCACACAGCCAAGTTGGCATTTCCACCCACCCAGCACAGCGTTTCGTGGCCCTATAGGGCGTTCCACCGAAGGCCACAGTGTCACCGTCCGCGTGCGTCCCACACACACACACACACACACACACACACACACACACACACACACACACACACACACACACACATACACACACACACACATACATACACACCCAGCTGGGTATTTTCACCCACCCACTCAGCGCGTCGTGGCCACATAGGAAGCCACCGAAGCCCCCAGTGGGACCGCCCGCATGCGTCCCACACAGCCAAATCGGCATTTTCAGTCACACAGTACAGCGTTTCGTGGCCCCGCAGGGAGCCCCACCGAACGATCCAGGCCGACCGCCCACATGCATCCCTCACGCCCAATTTGGCATTTTCACCTACCCAGTACAGCATTTCGTGGCCCCATATGAAGCTCCACCAAAAGCCCAATGCCACCGTTCGCATGCGCCCCACAAACAATTTGGCGCTTTCACCCACCCAATACAGCGCTTCGTGGACACATCGGGAGCACCAACAAAGTCCCCAGTAGGACCACCCGCATGCGCCACACACACACACACAAGTTTGCATTCTCACCCACCCAGTACAACGTTTTGTGGCCCCATATGGAGTTCTTCCGGAGCCCCCAACGGGACCACCCGCATGAGCCCCCCACCCACAATTTGGCACATCCCTCACACGTTTCGTGGCCGCACAGGGAGCTCCCCCGAAAGCCCCAATGCCACCGTCCGCGTGCGTCCCCCACACCCATATCGGCACACCCCTCACACGCTTCGTGGCCGCATAGGGAGCTCCACCGAACGAAGGCCCCAGTGCCACCGCCCGCACGCGTCCCCCACACCCATTTCGGCACACCCCTTACACGCTTCGTGGACGCATAATAGGGAGCTCCACCGAAGGCCCCAGTAGTGCAACCGGCCGCACGCGTCCCCCCCTCCCAGTACTGCGCTTCGTGGGCCCATAGTGGAGCTCCACCGAAGGTTCCAGGTCTACCGCCCGCATGCGCCCCCCCCGCCAAGTACAGCGTTTCGTGGCCCCATGGGGAGCTCCACCGACGGCCCCAGTGCTACCGCCCGCATGCGTCCCCCCCACCCGGTACAGCGCTTCGCGGCTCCTCAGGGAGCGCTAACGACGGTTCCATTGCTACCGCCCGCATGCGTCCCCCCCACCCAGTGCACCATGTCGTGGCCCCATGGGGAGCTCCACCGAAGGCCCCGGTGCTACCGCCGGCATGCGTCCCCCCACCCAGTACAGCGTTTCGTGGCCCCATAGGGAGCTCCACCGAGACGGCCCCAGTGCTACCGCCCGCATGCGTCCCCCCCACCCAGTACTGCGCTTCGTGGGCCCATGGGGAGCTCCACCGAAGACCCCGGTGCTACCGCCCGCATGCGTCCCCCCCACCCAGTACCAGCGCTTCGTGGCCCCATAGGGACATGCACCGACGGCCCCAGCGCTACCGCCCGCTTGCACTCCCCCCCACCCAGTGCAGCGCTTCGTGTCCCCATAGAGAGTTTCACCGAAGAAGATATTCAATTTCGGTGCCCACAACTGCATGTGGTTGGGCCCGTCGTCAGTATAACTGTTTGTCATTTTTCCAAAATGCGCATGTAGGACGACACTGACAGGTTCGAGGAGGTTCAAGATTTTCGGGCGTTCTCGTCGGCCCTGGACGTTTTCCAGCCGCCGGGTGCCTTCAGTGGCTGCGCCTCGCGGAAGGCGTTCTGGGGGCGCCCATGTCATCCCAAACGACCGCCAGAGATCCGAGATATAACCCGAAACCAGTCGACGAGTATCATGCGGAGAAGTGAGGCGCAAGGCGTAGCACATCCACCCCCAATCGCCCACTCATCGCGGACAGATTCCCGACAGTCCCAACTTGCCCAGGAACCTGCGATTTCGCCATCGGGGGCCTACCGCCGATCTGTCGGCGATACATCACCGATATCTGCTCGATGTCCCCGACACCCGACACATGACGACGCCGACAACAAGGATTCCCCCCTTCCGCTTTGAAGAGAGAGCACCCCGCGTTTCCTCCTCCTTTCCTCTCATCTCTTCCTTCCTCCTCCCCCCATCCTTCCTCCCATCCTTACTCTAAAGCGAGCTGAGGGACGTAGGGAGTGGAAGCGAGCGTGCGCCCGCGGCAGCGTCGGCTCAGGCGGCCGGCCGCCCAGATATGACTGTGCCTCATTGCGAGGCGCACAATCGCTATCAAGACCAAAAGGATATTGCTATTGCTTGAGATGGCATCTCCTCTCATACTGGGACGATCGCTACTACGGTACAGCAGAGCGGGAGCTAGGCTTCGCCTGAGGCGAAGCTGCTGGCTAGGCCTTCCAGCCTCCTTCAAACTTGGTAGCGGAGCTGGCCTATGGTGGTCAGCTCTAGCTCTACTCCTCACCATCCACAGCACTATTTGGTGGACTGCAAATATGGCGGAACATCAGCGTGCAGTGGTTTTGAGCGGAGGAATGTATATAACTTCGCAGTACTGCAAGGAAACTTGCAGCGATACCTCTGTCCAAGCGGAGGTGTCTTAACTCACATCTTACATCCCTGCGCTACACTCCTCAAGTTCACCCACCTACTCCAATTGGATTTTCTTCGAAGACAGAATGCATCTTATCGTCGGTGTCCCCTGCTGCTGCTAAAACCAATGGCAGTATCAGTTTCGACCAGCGGTGTTCCTCTATGGTTCGTAATGCAGCATCCCTCGGCGCATCGATGGAGATCTGGTCCACCACATTCAGAATTGCATTCGCAACCAGTTTCGCACGACCGGTCGGCACAACCGCGCGAAGATACCCTGGAATCCCATTCGCAAACCATCCATCTATCCCTTCCGCTGGTGGCGGCGGAGGTCCAGAGTCGAAGCCCGCGTAGACTGGAAGATTTTGAGGTGGGAGCGGCGGTGGTGGCGGCGGGAGTCGGGAGTCAGCACCGTTGTCGGGATGACGTGGGACTGACGGCTGTTCGGGATGGGGTGGACGGGGAGGGGATATTGGAGGAGGGGGTAAGTCGTTAGCACTATCTCCGTCGTCGATATCGCTCATTGCACCAGTGTCGCATGCAAGCATACCAGTGGCTAGTCTCGAACCAGTGTTGCCAACCCCGGAGGGGGCCGAACGACCGCATGGATCAGGGATTGGCGTGGGAGGTCTTTCAAGGGTACTTGGGCCGGGCACGATCCCTCGTTGTTTTTGATGCAAGGGGGAGGGATGCTTTATTGGACAAAGCACGACAACAATACACACACGACAACAAGCAAACCAACAACGCCGGCGTAAACGACAACCGCAACGTGCAGAACCTGACGATCACCTTCACGATGTCGTTATGGAACTTGTGCAAAAAGGCGAACTTAGCTACGCAGCCCGAGCGCTTACATCGCCAGGCGTTGCCCCAAGTACACAAGTCACCCTGGATCAACTCCAAGATCCAATTTTGCGGCCGACGTAACCAGCAGAGCAGCTCCCACCGCATTTACCAACATTCAATCCTGCGCAACGATCGTCTTAGACTGGGCTCTGTTTGCAACCACGGTCAGGAGGTCTCAGCAGCAGGATATGGGGAGGGCGGTACGAATAGTACAAATTTTGTCTGGAGGACTGGTTTGCAATCTTTATGCGATGTGGCAAATCCTCGCGCAAGCTAAGATCCCCTGGCAAATCGCGAATTTGCTACGTGTTTCGTGCCTTACTGCATTGAATAAGCCAGACAACGGCATCAGGGGCATCGCAGCAGGCGACACGTTACGACGGTTGGTGACGAAAACATTTTAGCACGACAATACCAGGCAGAATTCCGACAACACGTCGAACAATTTAATTTTGGTGTATCGGATCATAGTGGAATAAATGTTGCCATCCACATGTTGCGGTACCTGACCGACGCCCACCCCGGCAAAGTCATTATCAGTATCGATAGGGTGGGAGCGTACGACAACGTTAGCTGTATACGCATGTTTGAGCAATTCATGTCCAATCTTGCTTTGCACGGATTGGTCCCTTTCGTGCTACAATGGTACGGCGTACAATCACAATTCAAATGGATAGATGAT